TATATTTATATATAATATCTGATAGCCTGCAGTGAAGTGTTAGCTTGGTAGCCAATTAATGATCCCCGATCGTGATCTACAAAGGCAAATGACGATTTCTCCAACTGGTTTTTGGCAGATCTGTTTAGTCTTCAGCTAAACCTAGGCGATGGGTTTTTTTTTTTTCATTCATTCGTTAGTCATCGCAAGGATAAAAAGGTTACTCACTCATGAATGAGACGAAAAAAAACCCCATTTGAGAGCACATAAAAATGTTGATTTAATGCATAAAATCGAGTTTCGGTGCAGTTAATGAAGCAAATCTTGTTAACTAAGGCTCATTAATTATTCCTATGGTTTATTTATACGATTTCTGCTATGTTTTGAGTCTCGTTTCGGGCGGAGAGTGGCAAATTAAATAAACAAATAATTTATCAATTTTTAGGAGTCATTAGAAGAGCAAAAATTTGCAAATTTATTTGAATAAGATACGAGTTTAAAAATACGAAATGCTTTTGTTTATTTAGAAGTAAAAAATGAGATAAGCTTAGATTAAGTGAAGAAGAAAAATTGTATAAATTTATACTAAGCAAATAAATAAAAGATTATCAAAAACTTTAAACAAAATAGAAAAAAGATAAATAAATAAACAAATTCATTTATCATTACATAAGGACGTAAGAAATTATTCTTATTAAAAAAAAAAAATATATTGAAATTGAAATTTGTTAATAAGTTCAGGGTATAAAAAATACAAAGTATATTGTATTAAAATATATTACCTTAAAGAAAAAAGTCTTTAACATGGCAAGGACTGCCTCTGTGTCTTCTGGCTGGACCGGCTCTATAGTATAGGGGCATTCCTTATCAATTTTTGACGACGACGACATATTAAGCACGTCCAATTTCTGTGTCAAGCGGGTGATCGGATATAAATCGTTCAGCTGTGAAATAGACGAAATAAGCTATTAAAATTTATACAATTACAAATATATACACACTAGCTGGCCCGGCAAACGTTGCATTGCCCTMTMYATTATTTCTAGGTARAAAATTGTTGAAAGCTATGTTGTTCAGGTTGGGATACACTCTGATTAATTTATTAATTGGATTTTCATTCAAGCACCTTGTGGTAAACGATAGATAATTGACTGGCCATATTCCGTTGCCTAATTGCATCATGGGTCCGCCGGGAAAGATTAGATCTTCTAGGAGGCGGCATTTTTATTAATAGTAATACTGAATATGCCCTCGCACAAAACCACATAAAACAATCGAGAAATATAAATATAAATAATTTACACAAATTTATGTTTGAGACAAACAAATACCTGAACTTTCGAGATATTTAGCTTCTGTACGCACGCGTATTATTTTTATCAAATGTGCTTTTTTTATGAATAGTCAGGTTCGCCTGAGGCTGTGNATTTTTATTAATAGTAATACTGAATATGCCCTCGCACAAAACCACATAAAACAATCGAGAAATATAAATATAAATAATTTACTCAAATTTATGTTTGAGACAAACTTTCTAGATATTTAGCTTCTGTACACACGCGTATTATTTTTATCAAATGTGTGTTTTTTTTTATGAATAGTCAGGTGACTACATTTGTTTATTTACTTCTATACTATTGTATAATATGAGAGCAGGACCGAAAACTGTCACTGTTATCAAGCCTGCTGAGTATCAATGGAAATTTGAATCTTTAGGGAAAAAACCGCGTTTTTCAAGTATTCGTCAAATTTTTTCAGTATTTTTAAGATCTATTATCCCACTCGTAGCGGAGACAAATCCAACAAATCAAAAACCATGAAAATTGGCCCAGCAGATCTCGAGCTATAAGTGGAGGAGCACTTTTACACAACTCTCTTTTATATATGTATATATAGAATAGATAATATATACATTCACACATTTATATACATGTTTGGATTTATTACGGTTATTTATTGCTCTTTGATGAAAGCTAGACATTTTAATTTGAAGCACATGTGCGCGAGCCGACAGCAACTACGCGCTGACGATGACGACGACAACAATTTTCACTTGCATTTCCAATTTTCCATTTTCAATTTTCAATTTTCAGTTTTCAGTTTTTTCCATTGCCATAGCCTACAGCTGTATTTTTATTTGCTTTTCATGTACACTTCTGACAACTCGCATAAATTATGGTTTAATAATTAATTCTTCTACTTGAAGGCAACGGCTGAACAAATATTTTCCATTTTCTTTTCTTCTTCAATTATAATGGAAACTTTTAGATTTTTCTATGCGAATATGCAAATAGTTTTTAGGATAAGATCAGAAAACTTATATAAGTTATACATGGATATTGTGTAGGAATTTTAATTCAAGTAGTACCATGGTTTCTGAGATTCCGGAAAATAGATTTTCCGATTTGCCATGCCCCTATTATAATTATAGCTTCGATAGTGTAGAAATGGTTTGCACTCATAAGGTCAGACGGACGGATGGACGGACGGACGAACAGCAAGATGGACATTACAAAWAACCTATATAGTTATTTAAAGCGTTTTTAGTGTTCTAAATAAATGAATATTCATTTATTTTTTTTTAACTTAAGTTTTTAAAAGTATACATAACGCGTTATTATAGTGTTTTTCTTATAATGTAGTCAAAAGTTTTATTATTTGTTTTGAATAGCATTAAAGTTCTTTTGAATGTTTTAGTATTTCTTTTTATTCATTTAACAATCAAAATACGTATACTACACATTCTACTTCTAAAAATGTAGCACCTATAATATATCGTCTTTAAATTTCAAAATTTGTATTCAAGTATTTCCTCCTTTCGCTTGTTTGTTTGCCATATTTCGAATTGGATTTAATAGCATTTTAAGCATCCATTTGAAGAGCTATCAAAGCACAAGCCCCTTTATAAATTGATGTAGCTAGACATATATTTCGGCAACTGTTTACACTTGGGCTAATTAATCTATGTCTTGGCTCGATCTATTCGATCTATTAATGGCACGCAGTCTTCCTCCTTCTCTATAGTATTTATAGAGCCACTCAATCCTACGAATTCGGAGGTGCATACCCCACGCAAATGGCAAATGTTTACGAAAGTGTTTATGAAAACGGTCGATCAACCACTACTAGACTATCTAGGTACTATATAGCTATGATATACACTTACCGCACATCTGGAGTCAAGGATGCGGCATTTGCTTTGCAGCGGTGGCTGCTCGCGCATTTTTTCTACCTCCATTTCTTTATTATTGTTTTATTTATTTTTTTATTGACTTTTGTCTGAGGCGTGAGAAAATGTTATTAAAAAACGTATAGGAAAATCGCTATCATATATACATACATATATTTACTATATATAATATATGTATTTATTTTTTTTTAACAATATTGTTTTTGCTTTTTGGCGCGCGCGTTTCTAAGGTATTTTTGTTGTTGTTTGGCATATGTTTATTTGCCAGCGTATTTATATTTATTGTTGTTGCTTTTGTTGTGTTTTTATTTTTTATTATTATTTATTTTTCTTTTGATTTTGCGCACATACACTTTTGCACCTTTTGACAGTTGCAAATAATGGTAATTTATTATACAGTCAGACACACATGATTGCAAAGGGCGAAAACACCAAATGTGAAAATGTTTATAAAAATGTTTATCCTTTCGGCTGTTTTTTGATCGAGTTGCTTAAGTTGCTTCAGCGAGCTTCAGCTCTTCCCTAGTGCAAACAATGAATGCTTTAGCATCGCTGCTGTTTGCACTTTATATACATATGGGTTGGGTTTACGTATACGCCGTGTGTGCTGAACCTGAACCCGAACCGGACAAGGCAGCAGCCAGAACGAGAGCGCGCACGAGAGCGTATGAGAGAGCACATAAGAGCAGCAGCGACTGAAGGCGCAGCGTAGGACAGCGAAATTTCAATCTCTTTCTGGCAGGCGCGCTAGCGTTGACGACTGAACTCAGTTCCGTTGTTTGCCTGCTGCCGATCGCGACTGTGCACGAATCACGAATCATAAGCAACGAGCAGCTAACGTCGCAGCAGCAGCGACACGACGCGACGCCAGCAGCGACGCCGACGTTGCTTTTAAATGTGTGTGCAGATGATGGTGGTAGGCAGAGGCAACATTTGCATTGGCTGCGGCTCCACACGAGCCGATTAGACAAACAACAGTATGTGTGAGTGAAGGAAACGTCGCTCTCCTTCCCTCTCTCTCTATATATATTTATTTGCACTCCCAGCAGCTGATCCCAACAGAGAAGGGAATTGCGCTTTGACATCGTGACAAGTTGTCACAAGCTGTCGGTCGCTCKCTCACTCACAGCTGCTGCTGCTTTCCGGCTGCTTTGCCTGTTTTGGAGTTGGGCTGAATGGGAGAGGTCAAATTGGAGCAGTGTGTTTCCGGTGTGTGAAATCGCTTTTCGCAAATTAGTGGTTTGAAGTTTTGACGGTGTACTTAACTAATTAAAAAGTGTCATATAATTTCATTAACTTTAATTATTAGTCAGCAAGTGTTTTTTGATTTCTCTGTTGACAACATTTTAATTATGGTACATTAGATTATTCATCGTCAGCAGATGTTCAGCAATTAAATTTAAAGAGCGAAAGCGTTGAATAATTAACATTTCTATAGGCATATGTAATGTCAATACAAAAAGTAGCCCCTCCACCTCTCTGCGGTCATACACGCTCTCATTATGGGTATGTATATTTTTAAATCAACCGCAATGCTAACAGTTTAACAGTTACTTGCAGAGCTTCAGTAGTGGCTAATAAAAGAGTATATGCATGCACAAAGAATACAAAAAAGTAAAAAAGTTCAATGCTTTCCGCTCCTTATTTACACTCTCTTCAAATTATCAAAGTCTCTTGAAATATAACGCGTATTGCGATTATTAACAGTTAAGTGCAGAGCAACAATGCAATGCACTCATGTAAAGAGCTTTTTTGGTTCCCCTGCCCACTCTGCGCTCTCTTTGACTTTGAGCAGCTCTTCACTTGCAAATACCGCAAATATTTGCCGCCTGTCAATGAGTGAAGAGTTATCTAGATCGACTGACTGTTAAGCAAATACTCTCGCAGACATACCAATACACACACAGCACGCCGAGTGTGAGGCTTCTCAATGCGACACACACATACATGATTGTCGAACTATGAAGGTGGAGGCGGAGGTCGCGTTGCGTTGCGTTGCGTTGGGTGTGTTTGCATTGACGACGCCGGCAAAAAAGAAAAAAAGCAGAAAGAAAAACAAAACTGCGAATTGTTATGTTTTTTGCTGTTTACTTTTTTTTCTCTTCTTTTTCTTATTTTTGATTATTTTGTTTACTTTTTGTTTTGTTTTTGCTAGCGTTGTTTGCGTTCTCGAGCTTTGTTTACATTGACAGGCGCGCGCTCTCGCATCATCAATAGGGTTCTCCAAAAATTTATGAATATCGCGAATTAAATTATTTTACTTTTATATTTTGTTAGTTTTATGATTTTTCACAAATCATCTTGTTTATTATGGAAAATTGTCGTTGATGAGTAAGAGGGGGATTTTATATATATATATATATATTTTTTTTTTT